TTTTACACACAATGCCATACGATGATTATTAGCAAGGAACCACACAAAAGTGTTACGGCTAATTGTTCAGATTTAGGTGTCAGCAGGTGACGTGAGCCGCCCTGAGCCGGCCGAGGTGGGGAGGGCGGGATATAAATCAGTAAAATAAATAAATAAAAGCGAAGGCAGCGCGGTACAGCCCGATCTCCTCGGCTCTTGGATGCTCTGCAGGCAGGGTCCGGACTTGGAAGGGAGACCACCGAGGTAGGCTCTGCCGAGGAAGGCCACGGCCAAGCACCTCCGCTTCTTGCTTGCCTCGAAAGCCCCTTGCAGGGGTCGCCATGAGTCGGCTGTCACTCATACAGATGACAGATGACAGGACACCTTAAACAGCTGGGAGGGCCAGGTAGAGATGTGAAGGCCCGGAAAAAAAATGGAAAAATTCAGGGGGGAAACTTTTTTCCCCATTTTTTTCCTGAAGCCTTTTTGTTTTTTTTCTGAAAAATTGAAAAAAGAAAAGAAAAAAAATGATTATCGAACGTTTTATTTTAACATGATGAATGAAATATTTTAAGACAAGGTGTTCAAATATTTTCCAAATCATTTCTAAAATATATATATATGGTCTCAGATTGATCTATTTTCTGTGCACTGAGGACAAGCAAGTCCTAGGTTACAAACTGAACTCTCCAATGCAAGAACAAGATGCATTTCTTCCTTTAGGAGGTGCTGTTGTCACAAGAAAAGGAAAAGGTTTCAGTTTTGTTTTTGCGTGTGGGTGGGTATTCTGTTTGTAATCACTGTTTGGATACACTCTATTTTTAATATGCTAGTTGTGATAATTTCATGCCAAGTAAAAATGTCCAGTGTCATATTTTATGTTCCTAAAGTAACAGAATGACTTTCAATCTAGAAAAGACAAAAGAAATGCTAATGCAGCATTTTTTTCAATTTTTCCGAAAATTTCCGTTTCCCCCCGAAAAAAACCAGGGGAAAACCGGAATTTTTTCCGAGCTTCCAAATTTCCGGAAATGTTACATCTCTAGACAGGACACCTTAAACAGCTGGGAGGGCCAGGCGAGGGGGCCAATGCAATGGCTGCGAAGGACATCCCCTTTCTTTGCCGCTGTCATCACTGCCTCATGGGTTTTCCCACCACTGCCTCATGGGCCTGAATGTCTGCCTTCCCTTTGCTGTGACCAAAGCGTGAATCCCCACTGTAGCTCTGTTTCCCTGTGTGTCGATAGGTACCAGCCCTGACGAAGAACAAAGAAAGAGCTTCCTCTTGTAAAGCCACACAGTCAAGCGGAAAATATTGTGCGGCCATCAGGCACGAGCACACCCGCACCGCACTCTCACAGAGTGCAGTAGGACAGAGGTATATCACTGTCTTCAGTAAATGAGCATGTTTATAACTAATGCCATTACACCAAATGGGTTTAGTGATAAATAATCTGGAATGGTTTTTGATCTGCAGAGCTTTGTAATAGAGATCGTTACGACGACATTCCCCATTACGGCTGATGTGAATAACAGAGGAAAAATGAGAGACCCCACCCCAAGAGTGGATGTAATGAAGTAAAATGTGGAATTCATTAATGCTAATATTGATCTTATCGAGGATAATGTATCAGTTGTGTTACAAATAATGTCAGAAAATAAGCATGCTGTTTCAACTGTTTATATTCCCACAGCTCTACCCAGACAAAACAATTAGATTTGGATATTAACTTTAATAATATTGATATCAGCCCTCCTCCCACCCCCCCAAGTCCATTTGCATAATGAGTTGAAATGCAAAATTGATCTTATTTGGAATTGATCCTCCTCTGCATAAAACTCTGCTGCACTTATATAAAATGATCTCCAGAATAAATTCTTATTAATTTCCACTAGTGTATGCCTCCTGGAGTGAATGACCATGTCAGGGAACATTTCATATTCAAGTTGTAAAGTCAATATTATTGTAACAATGGCTGATTAAAGCATATATATTTTAGCATGGGGATGGGGGGGGAGGGAAGGCAGAATTGCCCAAGCTGGTTCCCCCTTCCTCAAGCCACAGGAATAGCAAATGCATAAAACACTCTCTTCTGGACTTAGCAGGACTTCAGCTCTCAAAGAGACATAACTATTTTTTTTACTTTAAAATTCAGTTCCAGCTCCTGCCAACCTAGCAGTTCGAAAGCAAGAAATTGCAAGTAGATAAGTAGGTCCCACTTCAGTGGGAAGGTAACAGCGTTCCGTGCGCCTTGGTGTTTAGTCATGCTGGCCACACGACCACAGAAATGTCTTCGGACAGCGCTGGCTCTTCGGCTTTGAAACAGAGATGAGCACCGCAACCCTAGAGTCGGATTCGACTGGCTTTTGAGCAAGGGAACCTTTATCAAGCCAGCGAATGCTAGCAACAAGACATTACAATCAACTGGTTCATACAGTTCCTCAATAGGGCCCCACCCCCAATGTCCACACATGAAATCTGTCCTCCAACCAAGTTTCCCAACCTCAAGATAGGGCCTGGAGATCTCTCAGAATGACAACTGACTTGCAGACGACGTCTGAGGTCAGTTCCCTTGAAGGAAATAGCTGCTGTGTGTCGCTCCCCTCCCTCTGACATTAGGGGTCTGTAAGAAGAGCTCTGTAAGCTCTTGGAGGATTGGCTACATTAGGGGGGGGGGTGGCCTAATATGCAAAGGAGTTCCTGCTACAAAAAGAGCCCACTCCCCGCCATCCCCAAACCCCATCCTTCCACCCTCCACCCCCAAATCTCCAGGAATTTCCTAACCCAGAACTGCCAACCCTATTCACGCCTGGGCCATCAAGGATAAATCTGCGTGAACTGAGGGCTGCCAGACCCCCAGTCCAGGCGGGGGATCCCCCGATTTTGGGGGCTCCTGCCCGCCACCAGCCGTGGGGAAGCCCCAGCCCCGAACAGCCACCTCGCATGGTGATGTCACCGATGCGATGACGTCATGCAGAAATGACATCGTCCCATTGACGATGCTCGGCTTTTGGGGCAAAACTCTACAGTGTGGCCCCAATTTTAACCATAGGGATTGCCCCAAAAGCAGAGCATCACCACGCGATGTTGCTGATGTGATGAGTCACTTCTGTGTGACGTCATTGCGCCCAGGACGTCGCCACCCTAAGTAAAACAGGCGGCAAAACTGAGCCGGAGGCAAGGCCCCCTGTTATGTATGGAGCTACGTTCGCTTAAGTGACTCAATGTAACCGGTCTGGAGTTTCTGTCACAAGCGCTATAGGAGGTTATGAATTGACCTGCACTGGCTTAGGGTATGGATCAATATGACATTAGGCTGGAGCTTCAGGCACAAGCTTCTTGCGAGACAGACCAATCCAGGGTGACTCTGTTCTGGCAGAAAACGCATCCCATTGGTCCCATGCCTGCAATGGGGATGTATTGTGTTCTTACCAGGGATCTTTTTGTAGAAAAAGGCCACCAGGAACTCATTAGCATAATAGGCCACACCCAACAGCAGGAACTCATTAGCATAATAGGCCACACCCAACAGCAGGAACTCATTAGCATATTGGGCCACACCCCTGACAGCACAGCTTATTAGCCCATTAGGCCGCACCCACATGTTACCAGAAGTGTGCTCATCCAGCCACACCCACCTTTTGCTTGTTATTGGGTGAGTTCAGACGGGGGCTTTACAACGGTATAGGTGCCGGTTCCAACCAGTGTACTTACCGGCATTCACACGACGAACATCTGCCTCCCATCCCTAACCGTTGTAAAGCCCTTTAAACCGTTGTACTCTGCCACTAGGTCCCCAAGTGGTGGTATCCTGAGTACAACGGTTGTTATTGATGTACCCCTCCGTCTGATCGCTCTCCACCGGTGTCTAGCCACTTCCGTTCGGAAGCCTGAGGCTTCCGATTTTCCCCTGCCATTTTTTTTAACTAAGTGATGTGCGCTTGGGCGAAGCTTCACACTGAGCGTTTGTTTAAAAAAAAAAAAAAAAGCCCTTAGTGTTGCGTTTTGGAGGAGTCCGGGACTTCAGGGAGGCCAGTTTGGTCTTTAAACTTTAAAGGTAAGTCCTTACCTTGATTCTATGAAGTCTGTCCTCCATTGCGCGGCCTTCCTTTTGGGAGGTTTACGCTCCTTGTAAACCTGGGCCCAAAATCTAGCCACCTGTCTTGTTGTCCGATGGTTCCTGTGTCTTTCAGTGTCAGTCATTCTCTGCTTAATGAGTGATTTCGCCTGGTCTATACCAAGATCCAGAATGGCTTTGGGAGAAAAGCCTAATTTCTGGATGGAATTCAAGACTGCTCTGTGCCAATTGAACTGAAATTGGTCCTGATGGATTAAAGGGAATAGACCCCTGGGGTTTATATTTCCTGTTAAAGGTAAAGGGTTTCCCTTGCTCGAAAGCCAGTCGAGTCCGACTCTAGGGTTGCGGTGCTCATCTCCGTTTCCAAGCCGAAGAGCCAGCGCTGTCCAAAGACGTTTCCGTGGTCATGTGGCCGGCATGACTAGACACCAAGGCGCACGGAACGCTGTTACCTTCCCACTGAAGCGGTACCTATTTATCTATTTGCAATGTCTTGCTTTCAAACTGCTCGGTTGGGAGGAGCTGGAACTAGAGATGGGCGCTCACTCCGTCATGCGGCACACTCGGGTCTCGAACTGCTGAACTACCGACCTTCCACAGCCTGCAGCTCAGCGTCTTAACCACTTGAGCCACCGCAGCTCCTTTTGACTGAGATCTCAGACACTTCATTTTTACACAAACACACACAAAGACGTCTATGTTATTGTGGCCTCTCTCAGCCCACGTGCGTTCTGGAGGTCGCAAACCCTGACCCGAAGGAAGGAAGCGGCCAAACGCCCTCAAGGAAGTTTGATCCCAGCGGCAGCCCGTCCTCCCCCCGCCGCGCTCCCTCTCGCCGCTAGGGGGCGCGCGCCCTCCTCCACCCCTCCTCCTCCTCCCCTCGCGCGCCTGCGTCCTCCGCTGTCCCGGATGTTCCGGGCCGGCCAGTTCCGGTCGCGGGAAGGATCACTTCCGGTCCCGGGCTCGGCGATGGCGGAGGCCTCCGCGTCCTGCTCGGCTGCGGTGGGCGGCGGCTCCCCTCCCTCCTCCTCGCCGCCGCCTTCTCCCGGGGCCGCGGAGGACGGCGAGCGCGGCTGGAGCGAGGCCCAGTTCCGGCGCTACAGCTTCGAGACGCGGCCCATCCCCCGGCTGCGCCATGGAGACCCCCGCGCCGAAGAGCTCCTGGAGAGCGAGGTCGGGGCGGCGGCCCGGACGGGGAGGGGGGGAGTGGGGAGGGCCACGTTCCCCGGGGGGGGGGTCTGGAGCCGACAGCAGAACCTCCCCCCCAAAACCGCCTGCTGTTCTTGGCTGCCAGCCTCCAGGTGGGGCCTGGAGATCTCCCGGAATCCCCCGCCCCGGGCTCGGCACCTCTGATGCTGCCCTTCCTTTAAGACGCTCATGGCTCCCCCCTCCGCTTTGCCAATCTCCAGGTGGCACCTGGAGGTCTCTTGCTATTAAAAGGTAAAGGGTCTCCCTTGCTCGGAAGCCAGTCGAGTCCGACTCTAGGGTTGCGGTGCTCATCTCCCGTTTCCAAGCCGAAGAGCCAGCGCTGTCCGAAGACGTTTCCGGGGTCACGTGGCCGGCATGACTAGACACCGAGGCGGCACGGAACGCTCCCCTGGATCAGTTCCCCTGGAGAAAATGGCAGCGTGGGAGGGTGGGCTCTGCTCTGCGGAGGCCCCTCTCCTCCCCCAAGCCCCACCAGGCTCAACCCCCCCAAATCTCCAGGTGGCAACCCTACCTCCGTTGTGTCCTCACAACAGTCCTGTGAGGTAGAGAAGGCTCTGAGGCAGCAGTGGCCCCACCATTGCCTAGGGAGCTCCCTGGGTGAGCCTGGGGATCATGCCTGAGCCCTGGCTGGGATCGGTGCACTCACTGCGGTGCCACACAGCTGCTTGCCTCTTGCTCCTCCCCTGGTGGGGATCGTATGCGGCCTGCTGGGGGGCGGAAGGGTACTGCCTTGCTTGGCTGAATGAAACAGCTCCGGTGTTGTTTGGGCTGATCTTGACAGTAAACGTTGTTTTAGGTGGGTCGCTGTGTTGGTCTGGAGCGGCAGAACGAAGTTTGAGTCCAGGGGCACTTTTAAGACCAGCAAAGTTTTATTCTGAATATAAGCTTTCCTGTGCTTGTACACTGTGAGAGCCAGTTTGGTGTAGTGGTTAAGTGCGTGGACTCTAATCTGGGAGAACCGGGTTTGATTCCCCACTCCTCCACCTGCACCTGGCTGGATGACCTTGGGCAAGCCCTAGTTCTGACAAGAGCTGTCCTTGAAAAAGAGCAGTTTCTGTCAATAGCTCTCTCAGTCCCACCCACCTCACAGGGTGTCTGTTGTGGGGAGGGGAAGGGAAAGGAGGTTCTAAGCCGTTCTGAGACACCTTTGGGTAGTGAAGGGCGGGGGTATAAATCCAACCTCTTCTCTTCTTCTTTTCCAATAACATTTTATTGGTATAATACAATAGTATTAAGAAAACATAACAATCACATTTTTATAACATTAGCCAAGTCCATAATGAACTAAAGAACAGTTAAACATATTAACCAGTACAATATGAATAAAAAATCTCTTATCTTCTTCTTCTTCAGATATCTGCATGCACACAAAAGCTTTCATCTTAATGTCCTTAGGGAGCATCTTTGGGGATTGTATGTCACAGTGAGCACAGCTTGGCCATTAACACAGCTGCATGGCATTTTCTTTTGCTTTCCTGGCACCTCATGTTCGCCAGATACTTCTGACATTGGTGCTATTAGATTGAGAGCTCTGAAAAATTGCTTGATTTTTCTGTCTTGCAATCAATTCTTTTTGCTTGATTCATCCACCTGACGAGTGTGATTTTTGGATATAGGAATAAACAACCCCAGGATGTTTGCATGTGAGAGTAACATTTTTTCCCCCTGTCATTGTCTCAGGATCTTGAATTGCAGTCTGTTTTTCTACAGGAGCCAGTAGTGCTCACAGACACAAATCTGGTGTTTCCTGCCCTGAAATGGGATCTGGACTACCTCCAGGAGAACATTGGCAATGGAGACTTCTCAGTGTACAGAGCCAGTACCCACAAGTTCTTGTATTACGATGAGAAAAAGATGGCCAATTTTAGGAACTTCAAGCCCAAGTCAAGCAGGGAAGAGATGAAATTCAGCGAGTTTGTTGAGCAGCTCCAGGAAATCCAACAGCAGGAGAGTGGAGAACGGTAACTCCCGGGAGGGGTTTATGCATTCCCCTCTCTGCCCTCTCTTTTCGGCTTGTGGTTTCTGGTTAAATGACTTCTCTCTGACTTATGTAGCTTCAGGCTTCCCCTCGTCTAAAAATGTCCTTCCCTCACATGGGTTCAGCACATGGAACAGAGTCTGTTGTGCAGCACATAGGCAGCGCCTAGGCTGATTTGGGAAAGCAGGCTCTGGTAATGCCCAGATTTGGTGTGGAAGTCACAGTTGTTTGTTTGTGTGTCAGTGTGTGACTTGCACAAATTTCATGTGTAAGTTTGTGTGCTTGTTTTTCTGTGAAGACTGCTTCCCAGTTTAAATTGATCATGTTGTACTCAAGGTAGTCCTTTTCTGAACTTTGCAATGCAGATTTTTTGCTGAAATGGTTTTCACATGCATAAAAGAAACACCTCTTTGAGTATATGTGACAAACGAGATCTTTCTAAACAGGGAATGTTTACATGTATCTTTTTTCTTGTTCCTTGGGATATACAGGCTATATCTGCAGCAGACGCTCAACGACACAGTCGGGAGGAAAATTGTAGTGGATTTCCTGGGCTTTAATTGGAATTGGATTAACAGGCAACAGGCAAAGCGAGGCTGGGGTCAACTGACATCCAACTTGCTTCTGATTGGTATGGAAGGTAAAGAAAAGTCCTTTGCTTAAATATGAACAGTGGACTTTGGCCAACTCACTGTGTTTTTGTTTTAATATCCTTTTGGAACTAGCAGTGTAGATGGCGTCTTCAGTGTTCTCATCCCATAAGGAAAGCCAGCCCTGATTTTTGAGAGAAAGGTCTCTTAATCCCTTCCCCTGCCCATGAACTGGGAAGGAACTGAAGCACTTTCATCTCAGAAGTAGGGACCAGGAGGAAGCACAACATGCCAGGACGACTTGAGGGCTTCTTGCTAACAGTGCACAATTGAAAAGTGCTGACCCAATTCAAAGAAGATGGGAGAGTATTTCGTATGTATTTGTCCAGCTAATGCATTTGTCAAATTGGGCAGGGTGGCAGTCCCATGAACTGTTCCAGTGAGAGGGACCAGTTTTCAGTTGCATTTCTGTTGATTATGGCTCCCCCTTTCCTGCTACTCATTCTGTAAGAACTCAGATGTTGCATATACAGTTAATAGCTGAGCACCTTATTCAGGGCAAACCTTACTTTGCTTTACTGGGGGACTCTGTTGAGATAATGCACCCTTTGGTACAGCGGAGCTCCCATTCTTTTTTAGAGACATGTGCATGTGTCATGATGATTTACAGCTTGAATTGGTTTAACAATTTCGAGGAGGGGGAACTCTTGCCTCATTGAGGGTGCTGGAAATTCCCCAGCACTCTGTCAGTACTTTGCTGGGCCCTCCCTTCCTGGCCCATTTGGAGCCAGCGTTCTTCCACAGGTTTGCCTGCCATATTAAGGCAGAGGAAGGCTTCCTCAACAGACAGGATGACTGTTTTCTCTTTTCTCCTTGTGCAGGGAATGTGACTCCAGCTCACTATGATGAACAGCAGAACTTCTTTGCTCAGATTAAGGGCTACAAGCGGTGCATCCTCTTTCCGCCTGATCAGTTTGAGTGTCTCTATCCCTATCCTGTGCATCACCCATGTGACAGGCAGAGCCAGGTGAGATGCCTTTGTGCCATACGGCCTCCATTGCATAAGTGGTTGTAGGATAAGGTCTTTGTGCTGCTCAGATGGACAGATCTGCTCATACCTCACTGTTCTGGCTCTTACAGTGGACTACAGCGTACCTGAAGGAGAGTCACAAGCAAAGCAGGACGTGATGTTTTCTTGTCCTGTGTTCCGTTATCCATTTCTCTTAGCGGAATCCGGTTTCTATATGTGGGGGTTGTCTGTTGACTCACAGCCGTCGTATTTAATCCGTTTATAGAATAATTTGCTGGCTTGACCAATGATAGCTTACCTGTGAGATGAAATATGCTTTCTCCTAAGGTAAGGTGGTATCCACCAGGTTCCTGGATGCTTCCGCCTTTCACTTATAAAAGCCAGCTCCTAGCTCTCGTGACTTGCATATACAAACTTTTTAAAAAATGGAGTGTCAGAGTGGGTCTTGGAAAGCCCACAAAGGGACTCTCAGCTGCTTGTCACAACTTAGCCTTAACATTCAATTGTTCTTAGCACAGCAAATAAGATTATTTATTAAATTAGATTTCTTAACCGCCGTTCCCTGTTTGCTCTGGGCTCAGGGTGGTTTATAACAATTAATTCAATGCATTAGAGTTCCGCAGGGCCTGTAAGATGGAGCTCTTCCGCCAGGCTTTTGAATAGGAGCCGCCACCACCACTGTTCCATCAACACCCTATAATTTCCGCACATTGCCATTGCTGGTGCGGGTACCATCGGAGGGAGTGGGACGTGCCTAGGGGACAACAGTGGGGATATGTACTGTTATGCAGTCATATCATTGAGAACACCATCTTGATTTAAAATTCGGAAGTGAGTAGGGGAGCACCGAAAATGTTTTTATGAATTCTGTTTAACTATTTAATAGTTTATTCTGTATTTTAGTCAGTATTTTATTGTTTTATTGTTATTACTTGGCGTTATGCCTCTGTTAGCCGCCCTGAGCCTTCGGGGAGGGCGGGATATAAATCCAAATAAATAAATAATCAAATCAATTAAAACCATAACAATTCAGGTTTAGGTTTACAAACATTAAAAACATTTGAACATTAAAACAAGATGGCAGTGCTAGCATTCCGTCATTGGGGGGGAGGGTACGGGGCAGATGTAAGGAACCATCGCTGGCCTCAACCAAAATCTAACCCCAAATCAAGTACCATTTTCATATTTCATTCTCTGCTTAACCAATCTACAGAACTGGTTGGGTGCTTTGCTGCTTGCACACGGCAAACCCTGCTGGTTAGAGCTGGGGGGTGGGGGCAAGTGTTTCGGTTTCTTCGGGGGATTGGGGCAGGATGGGAATGAGAATGCGGAGGAGACTCCCTGGGGCTTTGGTCTCTCCGGTGATGCCATTTTCTCTCTGCTCTGCTAGGTTGACTTCGATCATCCTGACTACGAGAAGTTCCCTAATTTCCAGAACGTGGTGGGCTATGAAACGGTGGTGGGCCCGGGCGATGTGCTGTACATCCCCATGTACTGGTAATCACGGTAGACTGAGGAGGGGGTCGGGTGGTGCGGGAGTGCCTGGCAGCGGCAAGCCGAATCTCAGGCCAGGCTCAGGAATTAAGCTTTGGAGCCACAGATGAATCTGTGCCTCGGGTATTCTGTAAGGTCTGTTAACTTTTCTGTGGACTCTGGTACCCTTAAGAGGAAGAGTTGGTGCTTCCTTTCCCCCAGAGCAATGTGCGCCCAAGGTGCTCTCCTCCCAGAAGAGATCAAGCCCCAAAATAACTCCTGACATGTACTGGACATGGTAGGAAGTCTGGTGGGTGTGATGGAGCATGTACCGTGGCCCTTCGGGGTTTGGTGTCGGAGGCTCGTCCTTCTGTATCTCATCCTGGCTGTTGCTGCGGGATACAATGAAAACTGGCTCCAGCCATTGCAGAATATTCACATCAGTTCGTAAACTGGATGGTGTCCTAGTCGGAAAGCCACTGCAGGAGGCTGGGGAGCCAGCTGTCCTGGAGCACAGGGTGGTCCCTAACAGCTTTCCCCATCTGCCTCACCTCATCCCTCCCCTCACGGTCGCCACCGTGCCACGTGGCTTTTCTGCACACGAGTCCCGTGATCCCTGGCCTAACCTTTGTGGTTCCTCCTCCCTGCTTTTGCCAGCGCAGAAACTGAAAGCCCCCCAACCCGTTGATGTCATTGTGTCAGTGCAAAAAAGAAGCAGCATTTCCAAGGGCGTGCTTGTGTCTACCTGGAGCGAAGCAAATGAATAGGTCACCCGTGCCCTGTGCGCCTTTCCACAGACACGCCGTGTCTAAGGGTGTGTGTAACGATTCCTTGTTTTATGTGTGTGTGTGTGTGTGTCTTTAAAAGTTTGGTTGCATGGTGGCTGTGATAGACTAGAGTGATTGAAGAGACAAGTGTGGTGTGATTGGTGACTGACAGAGAGGGAGAGAGGTTTTGGAAGTGTTTCTGAGTGGATGAATTTGTATGTTTGTCAAGAGTGACAGTTACAGTTTAGACAGTTGATGAAGATAGTGGAACTGTTAGTTCTTTCTGAGGTCTGTGAGAGAAGCAGAGAAAAGTTCAGTTAGTTCTGTGTATGAAGGAAGTTAGAGAGAATAAGAAAAAGTAAATGAAAGCTTAATTGAAGACCAAAATATAAGAAAGGCTGTATGTCCTGTTAAACTGGAGAGTAACAGTGAACTTATAAGACCTTGAGTTAAAGTTACAAAGTTACCTGAAAAATTCCCTGACAGAAAGGGAGCTGATCTTGTGTGTGACACTAAGCAATGGTTGAAAATATTCACATTACTGGTTACATTGTTATACCCTTTTATTTATGAACTGTTTCAATAAATCTTCTTTTATTTAAGTCTGCCAGCTCTGAAAGAAATAATTCCTCAGGAAACACATAGACCCTCATGAGACGTAAAACCTCGACCTACCTACCCAGTGATAGCCAAAAGAAAGTATAAAGTTTTGGAAAGCCTAAAATTTCCTGGTGGCAGCCTAACCTACCCAGTTGAACAAAATAAAAACCAGGCCTCCCCAGATAAGGGGTCGTCACAGTGTGTTTTCCTTTGATGGCAGTAAAAACCGGGGTCCTTGGCGGTGTTATGCTGGCCTGGCCCCAGACCCGTTGCGTGAGAGGTGAGGTGAGCGGGAATCTCACAGGAGGTGGGAGCGTGCTTGGAAATAAAGAGGAACGCTGGCTGCTTCCTTGGCGTTCCCTATTCAGCCAAGCGGGTGGAAGGAAGGAAGCTGGTTCTCTTTGTGTCCCGTGGCAGAGGAAGGGGAACGTGGACTCACAGGCCAAGTTAAAAGCTGAGGAAAGGCGCAAGGTGCAGGAGAGGGAGGCTCCTCGCGGCCTCTTCGCTCGGCACCGGGATTGCACCAGGCACAAACTGGGGCTATAACAGGAGGAGTTATATCTCAGTGGATCGGTGTGCTGCTGTTCCGGCCCCTACGCTGTTCGTGTTGAACTTACTTTGGGACTAGACTTGCCCAATTTAATAATTAGGAATGTAAACAGCTGTGTCTCCTTTTTTATGTGTCTTGTGAAGGTGGCACCACATAGAGTCTTTGCTGAACGGAGGAACCACCATCACTGTGAACTTTTGGTACAAGGTAAGCATTCGCTTTGCTTCTGCTGCTGGCAGAGCAAAGGTTTTGCATGGATTAAATGGGCACTGGGCACCGGCTTCTTGGAAGGGGCACCACTTGCATGAGGCAATCTGGCCTCAATACCCCCGGACCAAAAAGACTTCACCCCCCTTATGGAATCTGCTGCAGGCATCCTAGAGTTATATTAGTGCTTCCGATCCTAGTTTGATTTCACATTTTTTAATTTCGTTGTGTATATCAGAGAAAATAATACATATGCCTGTGCTTTATCTGTTACTTTCATTTTCCAAAATTCCATGCAGAGTATTTAGTTTTTTAAAAATCTGTAGGCTGGATTACTCTTTCTCTCCTTCTTAGAGTGTTAACTGTGCTAATGGTGCTGTATTCCAGACCCCTGTGTACCATTCCATCATTGGCAGCAAGGTTAAAGACTTTTGTTTTGCATAAATACACATTTTTGCAGCTTTTTTAGAGCTATACCAATTCTATGTCAAATATTCCCACACCATATTTTTTAACAGCCAACGGAACTATTTTCAAGTCTTTTGATATTACATAACCTGTCATTTCTCTAACTACTATTGGAATTTGCTCCCAAAAGGGAATTGTTATCATATAGTTCCACATCGCCAATATTTTGCTGCATTTTAACTTTAGAGGTGTCAAATACCAATGGAATTGTAGTTTAAAATAACTTTTCTTCATCAGTATGTTAATCATATTCTTTCTAGTATGGCCACAAACCCATTCAAACTCATGCTGTAGTACAGAATCTCCTATATCTTTTTCCCATCTGATTTTATTCTCCTGTCCCTTATTGTGTAAATTGTTCAGTAGTTTATATAGCCCTTCTGTTCATCCTTTACTTACATTAACAGCTCTCTATTAACTACTCACCTTCCATCTTACTTAAGAACATAAGAAATGCCAATGTTGGATCAGGCCAAAGGCCCATCCAGTCCAACACTCTGTATCACACAGTGACCAGAAATACCAGTGCCATCAGAAGAGGTCCACCAGTGGGGCCAGGACATTAGAAGCCATCCCACTGTTGACCCCCCCAAGCACCAAGAAGACAGAGCATCCCTTGCCCCAGAGTCCCTATCTATACCTTGTGGCTAATAGCCACTGATGGACCACTGCTCCATATGCTTATCTAATTCCCTTTTGAAGCCGTCCATGCTTGTAGCCGCTACCACTTCCTGTGGCAGTGAATTCCAAGTGTTAATCACTCTTTGGGTGAAGAAGTACTTTCTTTTATCCATTCTAACCCGACCGCTCAGCAATTTCATGGAGTGCCCACGAGTTCTTGTATTGTGAGAGAGGGAGAAAAGTACCTCTTTCTCTACCTGCTCTTTCCCATGCATAATCTTATAAACCTCAATCATGTCACCCCTCAGTCGTCGTTTCTCCAAGCTAAAGAGCCCTAAGCGACTTAACCTTTCCTCATAGGGAAAGTGTTCCAACCCTTTTATCATTCGAGTTGCCCTTTTCTGCACTTTTTCCAAAGCTATAATATCCTTTTTAAGGTGTGGTGACCAGAATTGCACACAGTATTCCAAATGAGGTCGCACCATTGATTTATATAGGGGTTTTCAGTGAGTTATCTACTAGAACTCCAAGATCTCTCTCTTGATCAGTCTCTGCCAGTTCAGACCCCATCAACGTGTATTTATATTTACTACTTCGATTCAGTAGATTTTTATTTTTCATCTCTTAGGCAATAGCTGTAAACAGGGGTCATTTCGTAGAAAAAGAGCTAGGGGGACTCATTAGCATAACTCGTTAGCATATGCCACACCCCCTGACATCACCGGAACTGTGTCCTCCCCACAGCCGGCAGCGACCTCCAGCGGGCACCAGCAGGGAGCTCCAGGCCCCGCCCTCCCGCACCTCACCCGGGGGGATGGCGTCCCCCCGCGTCCCCCCCCCCAAATGACCCCTGGCTGTAAATTGAAAATACTGAAATAATGGTGGGCAATGACCATCCATTCTATCTCATCATACAACAGGATTTGGACATTTTCTAATCAAGCCTCAAACACTTAACAACTTTTTTGATGCCAAACAGTTGAAGTAGCAAACATCTCCATCATAGAAGACTGTGATTTTTAAATCATCAATGCTAATGCAGACAAAGCTGGACTTAAGAACATAAGAGACGCCAATGTTGGATCAGGCCAAAGGCCCATCCAGTCCAACACTCTGTATCACACAGTGGCCAGAAATACCAGTGCCATCAGGAGGTCCAGCAGTGGGGCCAGGACATTAGAAGCCCTCCCACTGTTGACCCCCCCCCCAAGCACCAAGAAGACAGAGCATCACTTGCCCCAGAGCCCCTAGCTATACCTTGTGGCTAATAGCCACTGATGGACCTCTGCTCCATATGCTTATCTAATTCCCTTTTGAAGCCGTCCATGCTTGTAGCCGCCACCACTTCCTGTGGAAGTGAATTCCATGTGTTAATCACTCTTTGGGTGAAGAAGTACTTCCTTTTATCCGTTCTAACCCGACCGCTCTGCAGTTTCATGGAGTGCCCACGAGTTCTTGTATTGTGAGAAAGGGAGAAAAGTACCTCTTTCTTTACCTGCTCTTTCCCATGCATAATCTTATAAACCTCGATCATGTCACCCCTCAGTCGTCGTTTCTCCAAGCTAAAGAGCCCTAAGCTCTTTAACCTTTCCTCATAGGGAAAGTGTTCCAACCCTTTTATCATTCGAGTTGCCCTTTTCTGCACTTTTTCCAAAGCTATAATATCTTTTTTAAGGTGTGGTGACCAGAACTGCACACAGTATTCCAAATGAGGTCGCACCATTGATTTATATAGGGGCATTATGATATTGGCTGATCTGTTTTCAATACCCTTCCTAATAATCCCCAGCATAGCATTGGCCTTCTTTATTGCAGTCACACACTGTC